CAGTTTTCAGCTAGAACATCCTATAGAGTGATAGCACTGATTTGACACAGGGTTGGAAAAAACCTTCCCCCGCTCAACTAATACTGCTGTAAAATAATTAGCCATCAAATTTCAGGTTTTGATGAGGATTTGAAGTCCAAATATCTATTATCACTGAGCAAGTAATGTTTCCGCTACCATGTATTGCAATTTCAGAGTTCTTGGATCTGTAAAAGGTCATGTCACTTAATACCTTTTAGTAATTTGGTTTATACAGTAGAGATCAGTATTGCATACTATAACAACAGTACTGGTTTATGTTTATAGCCTGTCACAGGTAACTCACACATCTAATTCTCTGGTGTTCTTTGAATAACCCTGCTAGAACTTTAGTAGACTGAAAAAGTCAGCCTTCACAAGAATACTAATAAGGTGTATACTTCCATTATATGGTCTAAATTTGCAGATGTAATATATATTGCTGAAAACAGAAGATTCCCATTTACACACTCACATCAGACCATCTTTCTATCAGTTTACATCTCATAGAGGTAAAAATCTGTCCAGTACCTTTTGAAAAGAGTCTTCATCTGTTATATCATATACTAGAATAGCGCCATTAGAATCCCTGTAGTAGATCGGCCCCAATGCATGAAATCTTTCTTGACCAGCTGTATCCTGCATTTAATACACTTGTTAGCATTTAATACAAAGCAAACAATACTTCAAGAAACTCCAAATACTTTGAAATTTTACTTTATTAAGAAGTGCCTAACATTTGAGTTCTAGTAAACCTAAGTAATTTTTCAGGAAGATATTTTATTTAGGTAGGGGAGGGAAAAAAGGAAAGTAAACATACCCATATTGCAAGGTTTACTCTTTTCCCACCAATATTTAACTTCTTTGTAAGAAAAGATGCCTGGAAAGCAAAACAGATTACAGTTAAGTTTTACACACAAATGTCTCATTTGACTTCAGATTAATTTACTAATAAAAACATCTGAATCAATAAAAGACAGATTTCTGGATCAAAATACTCTTTAAGCCAGAAGGCTGAGTCAATACTAAGCCAGTTAGTCATTTCGCTACAGTTTGCCAGGAGTCTTATTCTAAATAAATTTGGCTTAAGCCAATCATTTACTACATCTTTTTGCTGTTGTTTTGAATGATTTGGGAAGGCTAAGAGTTGCGTGGAAAGAGTCTGAATTCACAATACTAATAAGTCTAAGCTGAACTCGAAGCATTTCACAAGAGTACATGAAGTTTGGGTAGGAGCCAGCCTAACAGGATCTTTGATTCGCAGGAATTAGGCAGAGTAGTTCACTATTAGTGAGCCACTAGAACAAAATAAAATAGTTTGAGTTTATCACTAAAAGTCTCAGAACACTATTCTGCAAGTTTCCTTATCTGTATCTTTTCCCCTTTTTTTGCTAAGTGAGCCCACAACTCTCCCCATCTGTTTTTGGGGGCTTTTTTGAGGCAGTGGTGTGGTTGGTTTGGGTTTTGTTTTTTTCCCCTCCAGATACTGTTCCTGAAAGCTCAGTGATATGCTTCTCAGCTAACACACAAAAGGAAACCAAGTGGCAGGATGAGAAAAGCCTCAGAATAAGCATACAAGCTGCTCTAAGAATTCTACTACATTATCTTCTGAAAACATTTTAAGTTAATTTAAGTTCACAGTTAATTCAAAGATAAGTAATCTCAAACAGCTCTTTGAAATAAGCTACTAATTTTGGTATTTTGACTCTAGTGTCTTATAAGTGGTCTGAAGAATACTTATACACTTAGAAGAAAAGGATAATGCAATTATAAGAGCTGAAATTCCATTCTCTTTATGTGACTGTAGAAAATCTTTTCTTTTAATAGCTCAGTTTCACACATCCATCAGGTCCTGTTAGGAGCTGATAAAGGGGCCTGAGTAGAACACAAGGAAGACCCAGCTGGAAAAGATTCTCTTGAAAGTCACTGAATAAGAGGCAGGTGTATGTCACCTGCCCCTTGACTGCTTCATCTTCAACAGAGGCAAGCCAGGCATATGAACACTGCACATAGCACTGAACCTCCTTGCATTGTCTTTCCCCCCTCCACCCCCCAGCTACCTTAGACAGCCAAGACAGCTTTTCCAGGTTATGCAGGTCCAGCAAAGCAATCAGGATCTGTATAGTATGATTAGCACCACATCAGCAGCTCTCTTGGGTTGGACATTTTGCAGTCCTCCACACATTTGAGAGATTAGTACACAAAAGTTGTATTTGTCTCAAGCAATTAACTAACAGAAAGTGTCTACCCGATATTTTTTTTTTTTAAGTTTGACAGTAGGTTTATTATTGGAGTAATTCCAGCACAGTTCACTTGATATCAATTTATAGCTTAGAATTATTTTATCAAGATGAGAGCACTGACCTCAATATTTCAATCAATGGGAACCAAGTCTAACTGTCCCACGAGGTCCGACAACAGGTTACAGACTGTATTCATTGCTTGCAAAAAGCCCTACCTTTCCTGCATCAGCTTTTTCACATTGTTCTAGATAAATGTTTTCTTACATGAATCAGCAGCTACCCTAATTTCAATTTGCAGGTCTTCAGTATCTTAAGTACATGACTCGAAGCGAACATAACTACAGCAACGTATCTCAGCAGCCTCCTAACCTCAAAGGAAGTTCCAGTTCACCATTTCCCCTCTAGCTCTTAGGGAAGGGGCACATGGAGAGAAAAGAAGAGAAGAGAAACAGCTCCCTTTCACTAAAAGCCTTCTGTTACTAGCACAAAAGAAACTCTTCTGTTTGGGTGTACACAGGTTAACTTCACAATAGACTAATACTTAGTTATAGAATTCAGATAGGAAAGCATAAACATACATTTATAGATAAAAGATTCACACTGACCGATTTAAAGACTTCCTGTGCTCTCCCCCATCATTGAGCTCACACTGCAGGAAGCACCAGCCAACATGACTAAATAAAGTTTCCAGAAGGCTACAGTCTCACCATCCTTTTTGTTGCAATCACATTGGAATAAAGCACTAGACAGTACTTTCTTTTTGCAAGTCAGAGATTATTGCAGATGGAGAGCCTCTTGTCTCAGTATCTAGCAATCTCTTCATACGATTCATCAGTGTGGCTCCTTTGCTGAATCAGGAGCTAAGCATTATCTAATTTTGGCTTTATTGGAACAAAAGTAATGTGGTGCAATACTTTGAACTGATGCCATGAAACAAAGCCACTTTATCAGATTAAACCTTTAATCTTAAAAAAAGATGTTTTGCAAAAGTGTCGCTTCATTGCTTAATCAGATATGCTAGTTTCTTGTTATCTTATTTTTTAAGGGATGTTTTAATTTGCTAGTGAAACAACTTACTAAAAGTTTCTTCTAGAACTGTAAGGTGTAGGAAAATAAGAGTAATAAAGATAATGCTTCACAAGTGCACATGATGTACATTAAGACTCAACAGCAACTGACACTGTATTTTACAATCAATAAGATGTATGTGTGGCTAAGGAGGCCTAGAACAGAAAAGCAAATGAGTTGAGAAACAGTGCAGTCCGTTAAGAGATACAGGCAGCAACCAGAAACCTAATCACAGCGGAGAAAAAAAATCTCAACATGGAGCTTGAGCATGTGCTTCCACTCCTCCACAAGCACACACACACACCCCTCCAGACAGCCAAAACCGAAAGCTCTCAAGCCATAGTATCTAGAGCCATTTTCCTGTCAACATTTTGGAGCCTTTAAAAGGTCCATTTTATGACAATTGTGACCAGAGTCTGTATTCCAACTCACTTTTTGCTTCTAAACTTAGGTTTTCCACTACAGATTTAAAGAACATAAGTATGAAAAAAAACCACCAAGCTGCATCACATGACAAACTATGCAGCTCTACTCTTTCTTCATGGGATATGAGAATTCAGCTATACATGATCATTTTGATGCACTTTAAATGATTGTTTGCTCAATGCTACACTTCAGCTGCAGCTCTGACACCTACAAGCTACTAGTCATTTCTGTAGCATAGCAAATATCAGTTACCTCTATGGCAATCAGAGCTACAATCAGCTTGCCATAAATACCACACCATGCCTAGTAAACCTACCAATAGATTCATCCAACAGCAGAGTGTGAACATAGGATAATGAAGTTTAACACACGTTCTTTTTAGCTCTTTATAGCAAAAATAGAGCAACAGTATCTGTTTATAAAACACTCACTGTATTGCTTCTAGTGCATCTCTAGTGTTTCTTTGGTTTTAAGGGAAAGTTTCACTATTAAATACTTCTGAGATACCCAAGCCACAAGAATTTTCCCTTAAATGCGCAGAAATAGCGCACAAATACCCTAAGGCTCTTTTTTGGCATCACCTACTACTTATTCTGTACTTCACAATCTCAAAAGTAGTTCAAAACTCACTAGTGGCCCACGTGGTGGCAGGGTTTGTTTCTTTCTTTACAAAAAAAAAAAGTATTAAGAGCAGTATACATTACAGTGCTAAACACACACTTTCATGTACATGCTCACAACTGCTAGGAAAGATGCTGTGCAGCTGGCGTAACTGCAAATAAAAAGGTTAAGCAAGCAGAGACATCCCAAAAGACTTAACATACAACCCACAACATGAAGTCTAAACACGTTTTCTGAGACCATGTACAATATAAGCATTTCCATTTTGTGCCATGGCATGCATACCATTCAGTGCTAGTAGGTAATGAAAAAACATCACTTTCAAGCAGACACCCTGTCATATTTCATAAGTGGAACATCACTTTTTAGTTCTTTATAAGTTAGCAGACAGTACGACTGAGAATCAGGCCAAAATTCAGTGAGATAATGTGACAAGCAAGTAAGCCTTAAGAATCTTTTCTGTTATTAAATCATAAGCCTTAATCTCACAAACCATTTTGTGCAAGCTGTTCTCTTTAAGCAGTATTCAGGTAGTTCAAGGGTTAGGATTTGAGAACATGAAGACGACTATAATTAACAGAAACGCAGCACATATGAAACACTTAGTCACCAGTCCACTACCAATGATTACAGTAACATTACTTTCAAATCATACTTCCCAAGATTCAAATACATTCATATACATAACTGGAAAATACAAACAGTTAGCATTCAGAATAGAAACGAGGCCTTTCAGTACTGAAAGCTTAAGTCTGAGGCGTAAAAAGAACCAGAAAATCAGCTTCCAGCAAACTCGGCGGGGGACTGCCACCATTTAGAGAGCGGCAGCGGTCGCTCCGGCCACCGTTAAGCAGTGAAGAAGACGGCAAGCACCGAAACCCTACTGCGGGATGGCGGAGCAACACCCCGTAAGCCCCAGGGCGGACGGGGCAGGCCGGTA